GTGCGTGCGTGCGTGCGTGTATTTTTGTAATACAGTTCTGAACGTAACTTTAAATTTTATTCATATATATATATATATATATATAATACACACACACACCATTCAGATTCCTGTATAATTTTGATCATGTGATCCAATTTAAATGAAAAGGCACCTTTATACATTAATTGCGTTCAGCAAATGATTGAGTAAGCCTGGATCCTGATGCAGACACTAGCGACACTGATTGGTGAAAAATGAGTAGTGGGGATAAATGGCGAATGAATTTTTACTGTTTACCCCCATTATTCATTTTTCACCAATCATCGCTCGGTGTCAAAGCGCCCGTGCTGCATAAGGATATATCCAGGCTAACTTGTCAACGTAATTGGTCTAAATTTAGAAATCTGGAACTCGTATCAGATTACTGACTATAAAATTGATCCAACTGTGATTTTAAGCTAATCATAATGAAACATCAACTGATTGGATCGGCCAACTCGCGTGTAGACTTCAGCCTATTTTTCGATTCAGCAATTCGAATTATAGCCAACAAAAATACAAAGTATATTCACGTGACAGTGGCAGTTACTCTGTATATAATAATAATAAAAATAATAATAAAAATTTTAATCGAAAATTGTTGGAAAAATGGCGGTGAAAAGAAAACATGTGGCCTCTTTCACTTTAATTTAATTTTAGTTTAATTTTTTCATTTTTAAAAAAACCTGCGAAACTGAAGTCCATAGCATATAAAAAAACGTAAGACAATAAAATTTAAACAGCAAGCGAATCAGCCAATCACAGTCGACAACGTAAGACAAATCCACAACGTTGATTTCCTTACTGCTTAAGCTTTATTAGTGTCGGTCCACAATAGGTGATTTAAGCTTTAAGACGTAAGAATTGACCAATCTAATATGAAAAGAATAATTAACTATGATAGGTCAATTTCTTAACGGCTTAAAGATTAAATACCTATTGTGGACCGAGACTTATGTGCCATGGCCTTTAATCCTGTCTACAATTAATCAATCATAGTCGATTATTCTCCTATTCTTCAACTATGATTCATCCATTTCTTATGGCTTAAGGCTTAAATCATTTATTGTAGACCGGGACTCATTTGGATCTTTAAAGTTTAAACAAAAAGATTCAAATGGGAGCATCCCATTTTACACGTTGCAAACGTTGGACACAGTCACTTATAGCGACCGATGCCTCGAGATTTTCCATTGGATCAACCAATCAAAAAAAATCTATTTTAAATTGGCCAATCGGCAACGTGATCAACACGAAACGCTTCCATTTAACCGAAGATTGACGAAAATCGCTTTAAGGTAGAAATACGGTTAGGTTAGTTTACGCTCCGTTCCGCTTGCGGAGCTGCTAGAGTGCTTTCGTATGACTAACAGCTAATAGCATACGACAACGACGACGGACGGACGAGGTGCAATGTGTCAAATTGACACGCATTTGCTAACATGCCCTTACGCATCCGTTTAACGGTGCACTAATTCACTGCGTCTCGGTCATGGATTACATCTACGAAAAGTGAGTGACAAAACCGTGAGTGACATAACGCGTTTATCTTTCTTTTCCCTCTTGCAATCTGTTGATATGAATTCCTAGTTGCTAGCTTTTAGTTGACTGTACTACGCGCTTATCACGTTTATCTTTTGTATTGTTTGCACTAAGGCCGCTCTTCGCATTTACCAATAATTTGCGACGCAGTATAGCGATATTCGATGATGATGCTCGGTCAATCGGAGTATGTATCAACGAAATAATGAAATAGTACGTTGCATCGTATACACTTTAGGTAAACTGTATTTTAACGCGCGTCATTGTTTCGTATCGCCGTTCCGCGTCACCGTTGATCGTCAGAACGCGTAACATTTGCGCGCCCAAATTTGGAAATATTACGGACATATCACATCGTAAGATCGCACTTTCTCCGTGGATAACGAAATCTGCCAAGATAGGTTTTGCAAAGTGTCTAATACAAATTTTGTCAGTAGAACGCCAACAAAAATGTAACAGCGTTTTGCTGCAATATAATGTTAGATTGACTCTTTTAACGTGATATTTTATTTTATTATTATTGTAATATAATTCTATATCTAATTTATATATTGCAGTCCTGTTTTGCGTGACGTTCCTTCCCCAGACACCTGCATTCCATTTCCTAGATACAACAGAACAATAATCACAGATGTGTACGCAGGAATACCCGAGAACTTATTGCTAAATGTAATAGGATTTCTGGTAAGGTTTTGACTTATTATTTGTTGTTATTCGATGTATATATATATATATATATATATAATTATATATATATATATATATATATATATATATATATAA